GGGATTAGGTTTTAGGGTTTGGGGCTTATGGAGGGGCTAAGAGTCGGATAAAGTTGAGATATAGTCCTGCTGCCCACCTAAGGGGTTACAATGTAGTAGCAGGAGTAGTAGTAGTAGTAGTAGTAGGAGGAGTAGTAGTAGGACAAGGAGAAGAAGCAGAATAACTAGCAACATATTTGCGAAACAATGTTAGACGGGTACAGGCTTCTGAAGAGCAAGGCAAGCATATCGAGACGTTTCCGTTGTAAGCCTGGTGAACTCTCACGGTCTTTACGGATGTTATCCAACAATTACACGGCTCTCTAACAGAGGATTTTGGATCTTGGGTTTCCACTGCAAACGTGCCAGATCCAAGAAATGCGAAACCCTTAAACTGACATGCGCTTCAATAAGCACATACATTGACAACGTCCTTAAGGGTCCAAGGACCCAAATAATAGGGTTTTAGGTCCCAAACATCAATAATATTATAGTATTTGGGCCCTAACACCCTATTATTTGGGTCCTTGGACCCTTAGGGCGTACCCCTCAACTTGCTTGCCGCACCTCCCGCACCAAGTCCTCCCACAACCCTGGCAGAGAAGTTCTGAATGACTGCGGCCAGAGGTGATGAACATACCATTGTAATTCCGGGAGTATGAAAGATGTACTTAGGTTGGGGGAAGATGTCCTCCATTCACCCCTGAACCCTGCACCCCATAATCTGCGACGGACTCCTCCTCCATTTTGAAAAGGTCGTCGATCTCCAGGGGGATGGCGTCGATGCCGTCTTTGGCGGCCTCTCCGCAACGATTTCCGTAGGCAGCCAAGTTCCCCAAAGAGTCGCGCTTAAGGCCTCAAACGCTCTAATCTGAGTGGTGCTTTGGTATCTGTAGCCCCATTATTTGGAGCTTTGTTGCAAGGATGTCGCTGCATGGATTTGGCGGCCCCCCCAGCCAATAGTGGTGACCACAACAGATACTGGACAAATGTTGAAACCTCAGTGTAATCTCACTACTCTACCACCAGTGGGTGGAGAGTCCTGCTTAAGCGAGGGTCGCAATTTTTCCTTTTTGTCCTCTTCAGGGATGGGTTCTCTGGGAAACCTGTACAGCTGGCAGCGCTCTGTGCTCCTCATCCTCATGGAGAGGAGAGGAGGCGATTTCAATCGCAAAGGCTGGGAAGGTTGGGAAAAGCGGCAATGAGATATGGCAATATGAGCTTCTGTCGGTTTGCTGGCTAAGTAGTGGTCGTTGCTTTTCAGATTACCCAGTCGATCTACAGGGGCTGGGCTTGCGTCAGAATCCAGTCAACACAGTAACAAGCATATCCGACAGGGTCTAAATTGGGGAGGTGCCACTTTTCATCATGTCCAACCCATGGATGCAAGCTTTGACAATACTCATATCTGCTCAAGCGCTTGAAAGTTCCCGGGTTCCCAGCAGTTAGCCCTACATCCTAGCTTTCTCCTGAGGGTCCTAGTACTCGAATACAGTAATCAAGCTTTGGCCAAGATACCATTCAGACTAGTATTCCCCATTCTTTGGCCCTTAGTTTCTGGGTCCCTTCGTTCAAGTAAGAGCCCTGGGGAACATGTCGAGGAGTTCAGTGGGGAGCGTTGGGCTGGGGTGTCCCTTGTTTTTGCGCCTGAGGCAGTTGCACTCCTATGGACGCGCATAGGCCAGCCTTCAAACAGGAGCATAAGGGTTCAGAGTTTAGGGTTATAGTCTACGAGGCGCGCCTCATCAGCTTTCATGTAATTCGGGGGGTTACTTCGCAGAATGCAGAGTCTAGTGGCCTTCAGGTCCTGACGTGGGAGGGGGGGTGGCTGAATGGGGACTTATGGTTTGGAATCTGCATGATAAGCTGGGTTGCTGTTGCGGAACTTGGCTTCAGTTTACATAATGAGAAAAACCTACATTTTTACTGTAAGCCATTTCATAGTAATTTCAACTAAGTTCCTTAACACCGACCTAGCCAGTACAGAATCTCAGTGATAAGTCAAGAAGGCTAAGAGGTCAGGTCTACAGGAAGGCATCAGTTTCGGTTTTGCTTATTGCTGCAGAGTTTAGGATGGAAGGTTTCAGCGCTACAGTAGGTGATAGGTGGTTCCCTAAACCCTTACCCTCAGGGTCCATGTACCCAATAATTGGGTACTTATGGTTTTGGTAACAGTAATTATAGTACAGGTTTGGGGAAAGTATATGATTATCAGGTACTTGGACCCTTAGGGTAAACCCTAAACTCTAAACCCCACCCCCGGGCTTCACGGCCTTCGACCCATGAAGCTGCTCCACGAACTTATGGCGCTGGTCCACACGGAGCGTCCAGTCGTACGTGTAAGGCTGGATCATCTCCTAGAGTGGTTGCATCTTTCGTTTAGACTCATGGATATACACGGTTTAGTTTTAGGGTTTAGGGTAAACCTATATATATATATAGACATATTTGGATATACGTGGATATCATGGATATGCAAGGATAGCGAGAGAGAGAGAGAGAGAGAGAGAGGGAGAGAGAGAGCGCGAGAGCGAGGGAGAGAGGGACCATGTCCGCAAAGTCTTTAGGGCTTAGGCCTTTGGGTCTGGGCCAACGACGGATGATCATCAGCGAGATTATCACAACTCTCCCATTATATTTTCCCTTTTGGTTCTCCACTATTCCTTTACACCATAGCACATTCCCAATATTCCACTCCTTCTTGGTCTGCTCATAGAGAGCTATCAGAGTACAGGCTAAGCAGGCCTCCTGCTCTCTCTTGGGAACCTTACTTGGAGCTTCATGAGACTTATAGGGGTTACCCCAGTTGTAAGTAGGGTTATAACCCCACGTATAAGTAGTTACTGTGTCCCATGAACCTCCACGTACCCCAAGGATCCATGCAAGCAATCAGTGAGTACTCGTGGTTTCGGTACTCATATTTGTAGTGCAGTTGCTGGGTAGGTATATGACTATTGAGTGCATGGACCCTTGGCGTTAGTCGTCTGGCTTGCCCTTGATGCAAGCCCTTGTCGCTGGGTAGGTCCATCAGTTCATCTGCTCAAGTATGCAAACACCACTATAGACCCTGCATGACGGCACGATGTGTGTGCAGCTGCACTACAGTGGGAATATCCATCAGTGGGGACCCCAAACCCTAAACCCTTAACCCTATAAACCTGAACCTAAACCGCGCTATTACGAGGGGAAGTGATGGGTGCAAACCTGATGTCAGCCATAGTCTAAATTCCTAGCATTCCCCTCAATAAGCGCTATAGTAGTCC